ATATTTCATTACTCAGTAATTTGTATCTAAAGTGTAATTTCTAAAATACACGATCTACAAAAAAAACCTCCAGGTCCTCGGTCCACGGTCCTACAGGTACTTCCTAGGTATTATTTCTCAGATATATACTTACACAACAGGTCCTCCAGGTGCTATGTTCTTTACGTTCGCTCTCTCTCTTCAGTCCAGGACTCGACCATTCAATATGTGCTCTATATTAGAGATGGATTATACTTACTAAATCGAGTACCAGGTTCTTAAAAGTACTTCCACCTTCTCATACCAGGTACAGAAACCAGGTATCAAAATACTTTCAAAGTATTTTCTGTTCAACGTAACGAGTCGAATACTTGTTTCCTTGCAACTTTAAACCTTGTTGCTGTATTAATACGATTCAAAATATTACAATCAAAACGTAAAAATACTTTTAAAAGTATTTTACTTCACGAAAATTTAAACCTTGTTGCCGTACACATAAGATTCAAAATATTCCAATGAAGACGTAAAATACTTTGAAAGTATTTTCCTTTACGTATATAGGGACAATCTGATCCTTAGATATATGAAAAATAAGTTATTTAATCAAGTGAGAGTCCCTGGGCAACCAACCAACTAGGAATTTTCCAACTTAGGAATTTTCTTCCTAAATTTAGGAATAAAAAATGTGGAATGGAAGTTTTTGGAAGGTATATTTTTACGGGAATATTTTTTAGGAGTTAGGTGAATAAGCTTTAGTGCAATAAACGTGCTAAATTGTGAATCAGTGACTTTGGATAATCCATTCCGAACCCCTCATAAATCAATTAGTTCAATCATTAACATTGTTTTTGGTCCTTCTAGTTTTTAAAAATTCTGCTTCGTGTTTCAAGATCGCCATTTTGTTATCGAATATCGACGCGTCGCGCCTGTTTTGTGAACAATTTAGTTCGTAGAATCATACGACAGATCACTCATCGTTCGTTCCTGTGGTGCTGCCCTCTGCCGGCGGGAAGAATCAATTTAATAGAATATTCAATTTTTCGCAACAGCGACATCTATTGTTCTACGGCGCACATGCCAAATCCTATCGAGCAGCGGTACTATTTTATCGACCGGATAGTTTACCACGACCCAATCATCGTCACAAGGCAAACACGCCAAACAATCGGAAGGTTTTACTTACTTTTTTATCATTCGTTCACCGTGGCGTGTACTAGTGACTTCAAGTTCAACTTCATCTACATTTCTACAAAGAAAATGTGTGAGATTAAACGGAAAATAAACCTATTCATCCTTCAGTTAAATTATTAGCGATACTTAAATTATTAGCGTTTCTAACAAGTTGTTGAACATAAACCTGTGGGTTTTCTTCTTCTAAGGCAGTTAGCGGTCACCTGGGGGGTTTTATCGATGGAAGTTTATGGTGTGCTACTAATAACACTCCTATGAATTTCTGTGTCCGAGTCGCCACGAAGCTCAAAATGGCGGCATCGCAAGTATTTTACAAATCAAAACGCGCGACCATCAAGGGAAAACTCACAAGAATAGCTAACTTCCTTAAGAGTTTTGATGAGAAAACTAACACTTTGTCTGAAATCTAAGCATGACATACGGAATTGGAGAAAATATTCACTAGTTTTGATGAAATTAAATCAACGATCGAGGCATTAGATTCTGAGTTACCCGAGAAAAGAGAAGCCCTCGAAAATGTAAGGGAAGAATTTGAGGCAAATACTTCACTACACAAGCATCACAAATGGACGCCCTTTTAGCCTAGGATTCGATAAGATAGTCAGAGTATGAAAAGCCGTGTGAAAAATTACCCCAGTTGGAGGTCCCAAGGTTTGGAGGTGATCTACAGTAATGGCCGGCTTTCAAAGCAATCTTCATGTCGACAGTCAACCAGGGAAAGTGCCTACAGTGCCTAAAGCCTTCACTGGTGGGTGAAGCTGTTGGTCTAGTCTCTTCGCTACATATATCAGAAGATAACTACTCTAAGGCTTTGGAAATCTTATCCAATAGGTACGAAAATCAAACTATAATTGTGAGATTTCACCTGAAAGTGATTGAACTTTACCAATATTACATTTATTTTATATTTAGTATTTTTAATATGTCAAAAATTGGACATTTCGCATGCTGCATGGGAACTTAACCATAAGGAGAATTCTATTCCCGCTATGTCTGAATTGCTGAGTTTTTGAATGGATGAAGGACTGCTTTTGAAATGTTAAATAATGATAAAACTATAGATAGGTCTAATGTGAAAACTTCACTATGCCAGGGTAATCATTATTTACAGCACAAATGTCTTAATTATCTAGAACTATCTGTTAACAACTGCATAAGTCACATAAGAAGTAAATCATTGTGTTTTAACTGTTTACAGCCTTACAAAGCACAACATAAGTGTTTTAAATATAAGTGCCTAACTTGCGGGGGAAGGCATCAAACAAGTATACATTTAAACCCACAACAAAGGGTAAGTTATGCTTCAACTTAACTCTATAGTTATCAAACTCAATACAAAAATACAACCAAATATTATGCCGTCTCAATCTCTAGCTACAAATAATATTTTTTTTATAGGTGTGCCTACCCACACTAATGACAAAGTGTTCTCAAGCACAATTGCATGTTCCTACCACTCAATTGCTACCACAAATGCTTCAAGCTAAATCGCAACTATATGCAACCACAGCTCTATCACAAAAGCTTCAAGCTCAATCGCAACTACATGGCTCACAGCTTCATCACAAACCATACTTATTCCTACAACATGCAGCAGCTACAACAAAATACATCACACCCCCATTGCTAATGTCTGATACTAATCAGCAACAAATACTGCTTTCCACAGCCATCATCCAGATTCAAGATGCTTCAGGCAGATGGATAAGTGTACAAGCTCTTCTAGACGCTGGCAGCGAGGTTAATATTGTGTCCCACAGACTAGCCTCTTTATTACAAGTTGGGAATATAGGAAGAAGGCATAAAGGATGATGCCTATACCATTCATGGGGTTGGTAACAGTGTAAAGAAATTGCAAGGTACCATACAACTAGCATTTCTTCTTGTTATAATAATTTTAAAGCTGATCTCACATTTATGGTTATGGAATATTGCTTTGCCCCTACCACAGAACTTCATACATACTAACACATGGAATATTTCTATAAAACAACTATGCACTCTTGCTGCCCTACTTTTTTCATACCAAGTATAATTTATTTACTGACAGGTTCTGAATTATTCTACACTATATTGCTATAAGGCTGCATAAAGCTGGGTACACACTTCCTTGGTGTTAGGTTCATTCCTACCAAATATTAAGGAGTGTACACATTACACTAATGCATATATTAGCATGCATTTATCATCAATGTCATACTCTAATCATTCTGGAATCAAGAAGCGACACACCTACCAAGAAGCCTCTCTCTCCTTATGTTAAGTATTGTGAAAATGTATACACATCCACTGCCACATGTGACAGCATAGGTAGATACACAGTGAGCCTGTCAATTCAATTAGACAAGCTCGACCACTTAGGTAACTCATTTAACACTGCCTATCATTGTCTATTGAAATTAGTGTGTGGCAGAGGCAGGTACATTACCCACTACGCCATTCGGGTCGTCGTATTATTAATTAATATTATTAATTATTCTGTTTGTTATGTAATGTGTTCTTCTTGAACTCTTAAAGTACGTAACATTAACATAGCGATATATCCATTATAATGACCGCCTGAGATGAAAAAAATTATGTTTTATAATTTATAATGTTATATATTGTTTTATAATTACATTTGTGTAGCTTTTATAATTTGCTAATTTGTATCCAGTATGTTAGTATGTAGTACTCTTCTTACAACACAAGTACCAAGTGGCACCACAGCATTGTGTATTTTTATTTCATTTATCTTATCCTTTAAACGAGCAATTCTTGTATATATATATAATCGGAATCTCGGAAACGGCTCCAGCGATTTTCATGAAATTTAGTATGTGCATAGATTCGGGGGCGAAAAATCGATCTAGCTAGGTTTCATTTTTAGAAAATGTCTTTTTATCCCTGTTTTCAGGGAATGAAAAATATAATTCGAATATGATGGTAAATTTCGCCGCAAGCGAAAATGTCAAAATAGCTCGGTCGGTAATCGGGCGGCCCCAAAACAGACGGCCGTGGTTCGCGTCACGATCATTTACACATTTATTTTTTTACTTTTTTTTCGATTCCAGATCATTGCTTTCTTTATTTTTAATTTTTTGTCGATTTGTTATTTTGTTATTTTTTCCCCTTTTTTTTAAGTACTTTCTTTTGTGAAAAACATCAGTTCATATTTTCTTATTATTACGTCGGTAAGATCGAAAAATATTATGCATATCATTTCTCAGTAATTTGTATCTAAATGTAATTTCCAAAATACACGATTTACCAAAAAAATAAAACAAACCGAGCAAAGCTCGGTCTTCCGGGTACTAAGGGTTAAAAACAGCAACAATATATGATATAATCAGAAATCTGCTGCTACTATTATGTTACAATTAGTAAATACAATTGTATAACAAAAAATTAAAAAAGAAACACTTAAAAATATATAATTATTTAAAAGTAAAGCTTAACTTATTTAATGTATTTATTTAGTGAAAAAATTACACAATTTATTTAAGCAATTTATGATTGTACGTTGTGATGGCTGTATTGTGATATGTCTTGGATATTTGGTTGTTGGTATGTTATATGTTATCTTCACATTGTAATAAAATATTTACAGCTTATTGCTATGCTTTAATAGGCTAATAGTTTTAATTAATTGCTTGTTAATATTTGTTATAACTCTGTTCTGACTAAGCTACAGATCATTATTGTGACTATAGCTTCTGTTTTTGTTTTCTGTTTTCTGTTTTCTGTTTTCCACATAGCTCCTTTTCCCATCGTGTCTGAAAGGCCTGCCGAATCAGGAAGTAAATTAGTGACAATACCTGCGGCCGATGCAAATAAATAATTGTTGACTAGGAACGGGCCTTAATTACTTCCCCAACATTACTTAATCTGATATTCAAGGCAGCAAATACCGCCAGAACCTCGTGTATATGCGCTACCACAGCATTGGTGTCGTTTTTGTTTAACCTCAACTGGGGTCCAGTAACAATACCCATAATTGCCTGCATGTTGTTTCGCGCCATGTTCAAGAGCTCCATTTTGGAGCTTTTCTCCAACCCCGTGTCCAATGCCTGACCATGCGTGCCCTGTGTGTCCGGAATTGGTGCTCCGCCAGAGGATGTCGCACCAATAGGGGGGGTGGGAGCCGGGGTAGTAGGGCGGCACATTCGCAGCTCCATTCTCGGTTTTTGCAGGGCCGTACCAACTTCCTCCGGTGACTGCAGGGTCCGCTTTAAGCCTCCTGAAGTACAGGCACTTGTCTTGGTGACCTCCTCATGACTGCGAGGAGGTATACGTGCCAGCGACTTCCTTGGCATGAACACTGGCCGGTCCGAGTCCTCGTCGGTTTCCATGGCGGTTGGCCCCAGCCAATCCAAGCCGGAGTTCCAGTACCCCGCTCGCTCTCGGCTAATTAGGGATCCAGATTTTTCTTTTAGTTTATAGAATAAACTATTACAGACACTAAAAAGTAAACAATAAAAACTACTTTAAAAAAATACAGACTTCAAAAACTAAAAGGTATAAAATAATTTTTAATAAAGTTTTAATTTAATACACCTCTTAAGCAAACAAACGTAATACATATAATATTAATAAAATACTATTATTTGTATGAGCTACCTATTTATATATATGGATCGTTTTCACTTAAAGAACGCATAGTATGTTATTGTTTTTTTTATAAAATATTACACATGAGACGTTCGGGATATTATATTATACCATATACCATTATTGTTAATCTATCGATGATCTTTACGATGTCTACATTAAATGACGTTTTATTCATACTAAAAGTGGCAACCCAACGTGGAGCATAAACAGTTCAGTTTAAATTTTGTTATTATAAACAGTTTAGTTTAAATTTCAACAGTTATTAACTGTGTTTTCGTGTAGTGCAGTGTACTTTTTCGAAACATATTTCGACGTGCGTTGTAACTGTTGCTAGGTATTACTTCGGGTATACTGTACCTATACCTAGGTGACAAATTGGGATGGTCGTAATTTCTTTTGTTTTCGTGTGTGTAAACGACTATTGCGTCATCCGCGCGCGTATAGTTATTGTGTAGTATTTAACACTGTTGCGTCATTCGCCGAAAGTTCGATTTTAATGGAAACAAATAACAATTATTGCTTAAACTTTTAGTGTTATCTCTCGTGTTTAGTTTTATGGACTCGGTTAACTCAAAAGAAAATATATTTTGTTATGTGTGAACTATTTTGTATACTTACGTGTATACCGACTAACTGTAAGTTACGATAAAGTACTTTTGTCCAAGAACTGTGACCTGTGATTGACTGTGTTTACATCATGGTGTTAACGCGATCACGTGCCGCGAGTCCCGCATCTGCCGCGGCTGGCGTTTCGCCTGAGGGCGTAGTGCCGCCGTTGTTCCCGGCAGAGAGCGCGCCGGAGTCGACGCCGCGCGACCTGGAGGCCGCGCCGGCGCCACCACCGGCTGTATCGAGTGACAGTGACGCTGTTATTGCGGATCAGGGTCACGCCCCTGCCGCTGCCGCCAGCTGCAAATCCTGCTGCGGCTTCAATCACCATGACCACAGAGCAGCTGCTGCTGTTGATAAACAGGCTAAGTCCCGCGCAGTTCCTGTAAGTACTCCTACACATATGTCCGGCAACTTTGCGAAGTGCTCTACACGTTTCGATGGACTAAAAACCAGCGATGTATTAGCATTCATAGATGCTATCGAGGTGTACAAGTCGTGCGTCAATATGAGCGACGATGTCGCGCTGCAAGGTTTGCCTATGTTACTGACGGGATTGGCCGCTACTTGGTGGCAGGGCGTCAAAGACAGCACCCCGACATGGCAAGCAGCTATGGAATCGCTACGGCAGACTTTCGGGCCTAGGTTGCCTGCGCATAGAATTTTATTTTATTTATTTATTTAAACTTTTACACAAAAAAAAATTGTATTGTGTATAGGCGGACTTAATGCCTAAGGCATTCTCTACCAGTCAACCTATGGGCGACGCGGAGACAAAAGAGGCAGGTGTAAAAAGTTTCAAACCAAATTTTAATTTAAAACAAAAGTTATATATATATTCATATATACATAAATTTAAGACATATAAATGAAAATATATAAAGTATATAAACATATTAAACCCAATATAACAAAAATATATTACTTTATTTAAGCATACAAAATAGAATACATATACTATAATGTTCACAAATACTTAATAAATATACATAAATAAATAATATACGATATCAATAACTACTGATTATTTCATTCTGCCAACTTACTTAGATATAGTTTTTTTATCTTATTCTTAAAAGCAATACGTTCAGTGGTCTTCCTGATGTCATACGGAAGGTCATTCCAAAGGAGAATGGATTGAACGGGAAAAGAAGAGTACATAAAACTAGAGTTGTAGGAGGGACATTGAAGCAAGAGATTATTAGAGGAGCGAAGGGTTCTGTCATGATTGGAATAAAGATATTGGATAAAGGGAATCAAATAGGAAGGGGGATTGGGAGAGGTTAATATGGAATGAAGTGTAGTGAGCATGCGCAAACAACGGCGTTGACGAATGGGAAGCCAATTAAGTTGAGACCGAAAAGCAGACACATGGTCATACTTACGAAGGTTAAAAACAAATCGAATGCAGTTATTGAGAAGACGGTCATATTTGTTGAGTAGATCTGCATTCAGATCAGAATAGCATACATCACCATAATCGATCAAGGGAAGAATTAAGGACTGCACAAGTAAAACTTTAGTTCTGGACGGAAGAAATTTGCGTAGGCGGTAGAGACTTCGCAAAATACCGGTTACTTTTCGACTGACATGATTCGCTTGAGCATGCCAGCTTATGTTGGTGTCGATATGTAACCCAAGATCTTTTACCGATGAGCTTGGTTGGATTACGGTGCCGTTGAATACAATTGGAGGTAAACCATTTGTTTGTACCTTGTTAAGCATTCGACGACTACCAATAATTATTGCTTGGCATTTAGCGGGATTAACAAAGAGACCAAATCTATTGGCCCACGATTTTATATGCTCTAGATCTCTGTTAATCCTACCCACTGCTATAGATAAGCAATCAACATCGGCCTGCGAATAAAGTTGTAAGTCATCGGCGTATAGGTGATACGAGCATTGAAGATTTTGAGTGATAAGATTGATAAATAGAGAAAATAACATAGGAGATAAAATTCCGCCTTGAGGCACACCAGCAATTAAGTCATTCCAACGAGAAGATTTATCATTTATGCGAACTAACTGCTGACGCCCTCGAAGATAACTTGAAAACCAATCCAGCGCTGTGGGTGAGATCATAGAATAGGATAGGATGGAAAGAAGGATGTCGTGACTAATGACATTAAATGCGTTAGAGAAATCCACTAAAACCAACACTGTGATTTTACTGGCCTCCATTCCCGCCCTAATATCACTAGTGACTTTAAGTAGCGCGGAAATTGTACTATGCCCAGGCCTGAAGCCAGATTGAAAAGGGCTTAAGAGGTTGTTGTTGAAGACAAACCGAGATAGTTGTTTGTGTACACAAGCTTCAAGTACTTTTGATAGAAAGGGAAGGATGGAAATAGGTCTGAAATGATGGGGCAAGGAAGGATTTGCAATCTTAGGCAAGGGAAGAACATAAGCTTTGCGCCAAAGTAAGGGATAGACTCCAGAAATAAGGGATGAATTAATAATATGGGATATAATAGGAAGGAGATGATCCAGGATATATACAATCATGAGGCGGCTCACTTGATCACAACCTACCGCATTTGATTTGATAGAAAGGATAATCTTCTTGACGTCATCCACAGCAACTGGAGAAAAATTAAAGGGGTCAATATTAGGACGAGGTAAGTTCTTTAATTCCTCGATAGTGCGAAGCTTGATTTGAATATCGATTGGTGTATGCAACACAAAGTAACGATTGATATCATCCAGATCCATTGAACTCATATAATCATACTGTGATTTTTTGCCGATTCCAATAGTCCCAAGGAACTTCCAGATATCAGCGGGTGAAGAAGAAACTATGTTATCATGGATATATCGGCGTTTAGCATCTCGTATCATCTGGTTACACCGATTCCTAGCAACCTTATACAGTGTCCAATTGTCAACACAGCGAAACTTTTTGTACTTACGAAAAGCCCTATCCCTACGTCTCATCGCCATACGTATGCCTGTTGTAATCCATGGTGCTGGTGGACGCTTAAGTTTGACGGTTTTAATAGGGGCATGTACATTGTATAGTCTGAGAACGGCACTATTAAATAAACTGACTTTTTCGTCCACCGTGTCGGCGGCAATCACATTATCCCACCTTAAATTTGAGGCATCTTTACGAAGTCTTCCTATGTCCATACGAGCAAAAGAACGGATATTGAGGGTCTTACGAATAGGTTTTGGTGGTTTAAGGAAGTAAGAGAGGTAAATAAGGTCATGGTGGGAGAAAGCCGGTGCGGGATACTGACCATAAATGGAAGCAAGGGAAGGAGATGAAGTAAGGATAAGGTCGAGCCAAGTGTCTTCGACATTCAAATTGTGGTGAGTGGCGTAGAATCTTCAGAATTATTTTTGAACGCGAACAACGGATTAACGAATCCACCAATTTATTCGTTTGTCATATCAGAGCGTTGTTCGCGCAACTTCCGCCACATTCTTTAACGGAAAATATACAACTAGACATGACGTATGGCTTATTACACAAAAGAATACGCGAAAAGGTACCTCGCTCTAGTTTTACTTCATTTGCAGAACTAATAGCGCAAGCGAGACGCGTAGAGGACATCCTTAATGAGTCTCGCCCATTCAATGTAACGTCAGATGTTAAACCTGTATTAACCATGTTACCATCAAGCAGTACACAGCCATCGATTACGCCGTCGTTTAGCTCTAGTAAGCGACCGCAGTGTGCTTACTGTAAGCGTTATGGTCATCTGAAGGAAGCATGTCAGAGGTTGGCGGGAAAGTCTTCTGAAGCCAAAGAGGGCGCTACAGAGAGGAAGGAACCGACAGTCACCTGTTTCGGGTGCGGAACACCCGGATGTATACGTTCCAACTGTCCGACATGTAAAGACAAGAAATCGATAGAACCCGTATCGAGTTCGTTCCAATCGGTCTCCGCGTGTGACAAAATAGATTCGCGAGTGCGTCCCGTATTAAAAATACAAATTTATGGTGAAGTAGGTACAATGTTTGTGGACACAGGTGCTAAGCACTCTATAGGTAGTATTAGTTTAAAAGCTCACTTAATTAAGCATGGACATCAATTTGAAAATGTATATGTAGAACTTAAGTTTGCGGATGGGCACATGTGTGCGCAAATTGTGGAATTAGCACACGTGAGCGTGACAGTCCGAGGGGTGTCGCGAGAGGTTGATTTTATTATGCTTCCCGACGCGACCGAAAGTTTATTAGGGATGAATTTTATTCAGGAGTTTGGCGTGATACTCGACTTTGATCTCAGTCTGTGGTCTGTGAGACATGATAGGGATCCTCAACCTATCACCTTTGAAGCTCGCTCTTTAAAACCACTTCATTGTTCGTCTGTGGGTCTTCGTGATGACGAGGGTACCCATCTGGTTCCAGATGAACGTCAGCGATTAACTGACCTGAATGTTTACGAGGACATTTTTACGCCGGGGGGAGGACCTACTCAATTCGCTGTCCACCGTATTGATACGGGAGATGCCACGCCAATTGCTAGCCGAATCGGGTTAATCCTGCGAAGAAAGAGGTGATGAGGAAGGAGATTGAGAAGATGTTAGAAGATGAAATCATCGAAGACGCTGAATCCGAATGGGCCTCACCTGTTGTGTTGATACCGAAGAAGAATGGTGAGATTCGGTTTTGTGTCGATTACCGCAAGCTGAACAGCGTCACCCGTACTGATAAGTATCCACTTCCGGTGATTGATGAGCTGCTGAAGAGTACAAAACCAGGCTGTGTGATGTCTACGATCGATTTAAAGGCTGGTTACTGGCAAACGATTGTAGCTCCGGAGGACCGACACAAAACAGCTTTTACTACACCGTTCGGAACGTTCCAATTTCGTCGCATGGCTCTTGGTCTTAAAAACGCTCCAGCAACGTTCCAGCGCTTAATAGACCGAATGAGGTCTGGATTAAAGGAAGTTTGCGTCTTAGCCTACCTCGATGATTTGCTGATTATTTCGTCCAATCCGGCTGCACACTTGAAGGATCTAGAGCAGGTCTTCGAACGACTCCGTCTATTTAATCTGAAAGCAAACAGAGATAAGTGTGTGTTCGTACGGGAGAAGGTTACTTACCTGGGCCACGTAGTGTTACTGCAGGAGGTATCGAGCCTGATCCCACGAAGGTCGAAGCAGTAATGAAAATGCAGCCTCCGACGAACCTGAAAGAGTTAAGGACTTTCATGCAAACTTGCGCGTGGTTTCGCAAGTTCATTCCGCGTTTTTCGGACATAGCGCGGCCCCTGTCTGACTTGACAAAGAAGAACCGACGTTGGCAATGGGGGGAGGGAGAGCAACGAGCTTTCGACGAGTTGAAGCTACGGCTATCCACCAGCCCGATTCTCCGCCAACCAAACTTTGAAGAGCCGTTTTCGCTACGAACCGACGCTAGCGGATATGCGTTAGGCGCCGTCTTGATGCAGGGTGAAGCTCCTAAGGACGAGCGCCCAATTGAATACGCCAGCAGGTTGCTGACCCCTGCTGAGCGTAATTACCATACTACCGAGCGAGAAGCCCTAGCAGTGGTGTGGGCTTTGGATAAATTCCGCTCGTACATAGAAGGAAGTCATGTTAAGATAGCTACTGACCGTCAGCCGTTAAAGTGGCTTTTGACTCTGAAGACACCCAGTGGTCGACTAGCCCGGTGGGCTATGAAAATACAATCTTACGATCTGGACATCGAGTATACACCCGGAAAGGTAAACGTCGTCGCTGATACACTGAGTCGTCCTGTACCGGCTTCGGTAGAAGAGACGAGAGAAGCTGAGCCATGTAGTATCTGTCCTGTGACTATTGACTTACCGCAGCGTAATCCGGAAGACCTCCGCAACGCGCAGCTTGATGACCCAGAGGTACAGAAGATCATCGCTGATTTTGAAGACACTAATAACCCTGATGCAGCTGTACGCTGGACGGACAGGGGCTATTATCTTTCTCAAGGTGTTCTTTTCCGCTGTGATCCGGACGGAGAGTGTGATGAGCCGCAGTTAGTTGTTCCAGAGTCTTTACGTGCGGAGCTCATGAAAGAGCTGCACGACGCACCAACTGCTGGACACTTGGGCTTGGAACGAACTTTGAGGAAGATCAAGGAGAGATATTATTTAAAGAATATGCGGACTTATGTCGCGCAATATCTACGCAAGTGTGACTTGTGTCAAAAGTACAAAGCAACAAATTTGAAGCCTGCGGGTTTGCTGCAAACTCCAATACTCCAGCAACGTTTCGAAGTTCTGGCTATGGATTTATTTGGACCGCTCCCAGAAGGTGACGCGGGACAGAAGTGGATTCTTCTGGTCGAAGATACAGCCAGCCGATGGGTTAAGTTATTTGCCTTGCGCGACGCTACCGCCGAGTCTTGCGCCAAAGTTCTTTTAGAAGAAGTTTTCTTGCGCTATGGAATGCCTCGACGTGTGATCTCCGATAATGGAACTCAATTCGTTTCAGCTGCTATGCAAAAGGCAATGTTTGTTCTTGGCGTTCAACAATCTTTGATACCAGTCTACCACCCAGAAGCTAATCCGGCAGAACGTAAGAATAGGGAGTTGAAGTCGCATCTGTCTATTTTGGTAGGAAATGAGCATCGACGATGGCCGACGGTTCTGCCTATGGTACGCTTCGCGTTGAACAGCGCTTATAACCAAGGAACGGGTAAAACAGCTTCTTACCTAACTTTTGCCCGGGAATTGCGTTCACCCATGACGGTGCATACCGACCTTCGTGCTATCGTATCGCAACAAAACTTTGTGCCTCAGATAACACCGTATTTACAGAATTTCGCTCGCATCTTGCACGAAGTGAAGCATAGAGTGGAAGATCAGCAAGACATTAGGAAAGCTGTTGGTGATCAGCATAGGAGAGACATTATTACCTATAAGAAAGGGGACCTAGTGCTCGTGGAGACCCATATGGCAAGTAATGCAGCCAAAGGAATTACTAGTAAATTTGCGCCAAGGAGAGAGGGTCCCTATCAGGTCTCACAGGTGATTAGTCCAACGACATTTTTAGTTGTTGATAACACTGGTGCCATTAGGGGCAAGTATCACGCCAGTGCTCTGACTCCTTACGTAGGCGAAATGACCGCGATCGAACATGGGCGTCGACGTGGTCGTCCGGCCAAGTCACAGACGGGTCGTGCTAGTGACTTGGGGGGGGGGAGGTTATAGCACCGCGGTCAAATCACGCCACCTCTCGGATTGGACGGGCTCCGGGGACGTCCCGACAATCCGCCCGACTGCGTGCCCGTCGGAATTCCCCCGCACCACCAGTTAGCCGCGAGCCATTACACGAGTAGCACGCGCGTGCGCATCCTGTCGGGACGCCGCCGAGCCCTAATTAGTTTAACGGGAATCTGGAATCGTCTTTTTTTTTGTTTAGTTATTTTAGTTTAAAATTATACTTCAATAAACCTTTGTACTTTCGAAATAACTAAATGACGTTTTATTCATACTAAAATATATATATATTTTTTTTTATGTTTTTTTTTTCATCGACCCGCGAGCCAAGTGATCCACCGTCCAGGGTAATCGTTTTTAGATATCGATCGGTAAAACTTAATAAAAATTAAGTTCAAATATTATCTTTAGAAATAAGCGAACCGTTCGATTGGTGTATCGACGCTCGCCACATTCTAAAACCGCAATAGTTTTCGTTTTATATAGCGCTCGCGTTATATCCTCCCGAACCGCGATACGGAACCGAAACTCGCGGCGCGGATTCTTGCCGGTCTGCGTTCCGTTCTCCCCGCGACCAGGGAGAACCGTATCATTCGAGAGAGCGCGGGCGCTCGACGTACAATAGTGTGTACACGACACACTTATCACACGTCGGTTTATAAAAATTGTTTGGATTATTATTGTTATCGTTAACCCTCTAACGTTACGCGTAAGTGTATTAACACTACACACGTAAACGGGGTGTTACGTTAATGATCCTTCCGCAGGTTCCCCTACGGAAACCTTGTTACGACTTTTACTTCCTCTAAATGATCAAGTTTGGTCAACTTCCCAGCAACGCCGACGGCCGTGAAGCCACCGCGTGTCGGTCCGAAGACCTCACTAAATCATTCAATCGGTAGTAGCGACGGGCGGTGTG